TATATAATATTTTATATTGTACATCATACTAGTAGTGTACCAGTATAATAACAGTACGTTGTACTAAGTCATAAAAGTTTTCAGTACATCGTACTCGTATAGTACTCGTATTCTACCGATATTGCATACCGGTACGCCGTATTAGTACAGTACCTGGTACCGGGCGAAGGTACATGGCTGGTACAGTACCAGTACGCCTATCACGCCGTACTAGTATTATACTACTACCGTACTAGTATGTGTGTTATCTGGGTAAAATATAAAGTAAAATTTATACACTGAGAGAAGAAAAGCGCGGAATCTGAAATGGAGAAGTTCAGCATCTGTACACCAAGTTGGGCGCAGCAGCAGCGACACTGTGTGATAGATGCCGTACTCAAATGTGAAATGGATGTTGTGCTTGGCTTGAATATAGATACTGTACACAGATATGAACTGTTCAGAAGTACAGTATCTGTCGGTCGCTATGAGACAGATTCCGTATAACTTAGTTCACACCGCTGCCGCGCTGCTAGAGCTTACTATCTGAACTATGAACGACACCAACTGAACAAAATTAAAGAACGGATACTGACACCTATTTTACACGGCCGGCGTTCGTCACAGTACACGGAGAGAAAAATTAGGATGCAACAACCGGAGACTCCGGTTGAATCTACTTGACCGACGCAGGCGTCAACGCAAGTACCGACACACAAATCAGTACAATTTGGTAGCCAGGCAGTTTTAGCCTGGCTGTCTCAAGTAGTATCAATTGAGAAGGGAAAAGCTTTTTCCGTATCGCCTGAGCTGCAATAAAAGACCCAAGTTAAAACAGCTTGGCTCCCTGGTTATAACTACTTGACTTTATAAGATCAACATGACGACTTAAAAGAAAGCAGTTGGAACTTTTTTTTTCTCTCCGTGTACGGATTCTGTGCTTTTCTTCTCTCAGTGTAGTGATATGGATAATGTCAATATGTTTACTTATCCTATACATGAAAAAATAAAGTATGACAACCTTTGAGTTGATAATACATAACCTCAAAAATATAGAAATAAATAAAAACGTACATAAAAAAATACATATAAACAGAAATTAAATAAATAATTAGGAACATATAAAAACAAGGAGGGGGTCCTTTATGTTTATTTGAGCCTCCGGAAAGTAAAACCACACATAGAATTTCCACGGGCGTTTGAGTTGGCCCCTGATGATTAAAAAATCGATTTTCAAAAAATGCAATTTCATGACCACTATCTTATAGGAAATTTTATGGTGCTTCTTTTTTTTCTTATGAAAAAAATTCATAACTCTTACCAATTTCGAGAAAAATGCAAAAAACTGTTTCTTTGAAAACACAAATTTAATTAAATTTTTCACTTCAACTCGCTGGCAAATGAAAAGTTATGAATATTTTTGGATGAAATTTATAAGGGATATAGTTTAAACTATCCTAAAGACAACAAACTTTGAATAAACGCAAATTTTTTCATTTGAAGAAAGTTAATAATTTTTTTATTGAGCAGTGTAAAAATTACGGTTTTCAAACTTCAGGCGCTAGGTTTATCTGAAAAATTTTCACTTCGGAAAAACTTCCAGTGAAAAAGTTGTTCATTAAGGTGTAATAAAGATTTTTGTAAAATAGTTTTACAATCCGATTAACCGTTTAGAAAATATAAGTGAAAAACTATTTTCCGTCATATGCGCGAGAGTCAACAATTGGCCGTTTCCACGGAGCAAGGCACGTTGCCGTCGCAGCGGTCTCAAGGTCATTTTTGTTTACTATAATATGTACCAGAAGTCTTTTAACATCTAACTAATGACTTTAAAGAATGTAAAAAAAAGTATGCTTTTTATTTAATCTTGGATTAGCAGTACGTAAATTCTTTTTTAAAAAAATGTCTGATTTCATCAGAAGCTCGGATCTTGGTAGAAAGAGACTACAGAATAAAGAATCTTGGTTAGATAATTTGCGAAAAATAAAAAGAAATAAGGTAAGTGAAGTTTCATTTTTTCAATAGAAAATACTTTAGTGTTATTTATTGAAATTTATTTTATAATTAAATTTTTTAAATTAGATTGTGAATATATGAAGAAATTAGACTAAAATCAAAGTTTTACAGGTTTAAATAAAAATATTTTTTTTAAATGAAAAATATTCTACTAATTATTTTTTTAAATGTAAAATGTTTAATTAATTTTTTTAAAATAGTCTGAAACTTTTTTAAATTACTATTTTTTTAAGCTATTAAAAGAATGCAGAATTTGATACGTCTTAATGTTTACCTTTTGTTTAATTGTAAAAAATATTTTTAAAACACTTTTCATTTTTTCAATTGTAAATTTCTTTATTTTATAATGCTGAATTACTTACGTTATTTATATTTTACATAAATAAATGTTACCTTTTCTATAGTAACTAAATCCAAATGACCTTGAGACCGCTGCGACGGCAACGTGCCTTGCTCCGTGGAAACGGCCAATTGTTGACTCTCGCGCATATGACGGAAAATAGTTTTTCACTTATAATTTCTAAAAGGTTAATCGGATTGTAAAACTATTTTACAAAAATCTTTATTACACCTTAATGAACAACTTTTTCACTGAAAGTTTTTCCGAAGTGAAAATTTTTCAGATAAACCTAGCGCCTGAAGTTTGAAAACCGTAATTTTTACACTGCTCAATAAAAAAAATTATTAACTTTCTTGAAATGAAAAAATTTGCGTTTATTCAAAGTTTGTTGTCTTTAGGATAGTTTAAACTATATCCCTTATAAATTTCATCCAAAAATATTCATAACTTTTCATTTGCCAGCGAGTTGAAGTGAAAAATTTAATTACATTTGTGTTTTTAAAAAAAACAGTTTTTTGCATTTTTCTCGAAATTGGTAAGAGTTATGAATTTTTTTCATAAGAAAAAAAAGATGCGCCATAAAATTTCCTATAAGATAGTGGTCATGAAATTGCATTTTTTGAAAATCGATTTTTTAATCATCAGGGGCCAACTCAAACGCCCGTGGAAATTCTATGTGTGATTTTACTTTCCGGAGGCTCATTTCATAAACATTTTGCTTCCTCATTGTGTGAAGCAAAAATTTACTTCCCCGTGGAGGAAGCTATGAATTTCTCCAATTCGATTGATTTATTAAAAAAATTTCGAGTTGAAAACTGTTTTAAATTAATTAAATTTTTTGAAAAATTAGGAAAATTTTAATTAATTTTGGGTGTAACATATACTTTATATATACATATCGATTCGTTTCAATGCAAGGAATACAATTATTATATTTATTAACTTGAATTTTAAATAAACACAAATTTTTTTTATCTAAAATATGAATTTTCAATTTTTATTATTTCTCAAATTTTAAATCAAATCTATACTTTATATATACCAACTAATTCGTTTCAATGCAGGGAATAAAATTATTTCATATATAAACATGAATTTAAATAAACACAACATTTTTTAGTATAATCTCAATTTTTGAATTTTTAACTTTCATTAATTCTTTAAATTTCACTCAAATCTATACCTTATTTAAGTATCAGTCGATTCATCTTGACGTAAGGAAGACGATTATATTATATATTACTTTAAATTATTCGATTTAAAAATTTTTCAATTAAAAAAAAATTTTTGGAAAAAAGACGATAAAATTTTTATTGGGGTATTTTTAAAAATCCTCTCGTTAAATAAGCCTACAAAATTTTATTCAAATCCATTAAAACCTGTTAAAGTTATCGTGTTTACAAAAGCGATCCACACACACATACGATATACGAGATATTACTCGTAAATAACTTGAAATATCTTGTTCGGATTTGTCGGATTAATTAGATAAGGGCGAGCTGATTAAGAATCATCTCCATTTTGACAACTAATTTTGTAGAAAATAATTTTAAATCGTGGTTATAAAAGTTGGATTTTTGACAGAAGTGGGGACAGACATTGAATCTATGTGTCAGTGATCCAGAAGGTGGCGCCAATTCTAGCTAGTGGCCGCTGCTGAAATAACTTACCCCAAATTACTCCACTTTAAATCTTTAATAAAATAATTTCCTCACAATATTATTGCAAAAATGGAGAAGAGCCCCACTCAGTGACCCTTTCTTTATTATTTCTCCAAATGCCAACTCGAAATACTTTATCCTTTAAAGATGAGAAGAAATCTACGAAACCCCTTTTTGCCAATGTTTAAACTTTTTTTTCAATAATTATTTATCAAAATTATGATGTATGATACACGTGCTTAAATCTGATTATACTCGTGTGATTTGCATCACTCGGCTTCGCCTCGAGCTGCAAACGTCACACTCGTATAATCACTCACTTTACGCACTTGTATCATAAATAACTATTTTAAACATTTTTTGGATAAATTATAAACATTTCGTCTTGTGCAGCTTCATCCAAAGATAAATAAAAAATTACTTTTACTTAATTTTTGCTCAAATATTTGATTTTCTTCTTTGGTGACAAATACATTGATAAATATTTTAATTTTTTATTTCGGAAAATAATGTTTGAAACAATGATATTTTTCTAGACTGTTTTATTAGTTGCACTTTTTAAAATTTTCAAAAACTCCCGCCAAACTATAGTGCATGCAATACAATCTATAAAACACGCTTGAATATAATAAGAAAGTCAATAGTCCTCAATTGTAATAACACGATTAAGACACACGATTGGGGACAATAGAAATTTCTTTCCTATTGTTTTCAATCGTTTTCATTAATTGTTTCTAGAAGAGAAATTTAAGTACTGTTAACAGTATTTTTTTAAAAAATATTTATTACTGTTAACAGTAATTAAGTTTATATAAAAAAAATATTTCTTGCATTATTTAAGAGACCGAATTTTTTTCAAAGTACAAAATATTGTAAAATGGGACGATAGCATTTTATTTATTATTAAGTGGGATTAAAACATATTTTCGACAATTTTTGATATCACCGTATATTGATAAATACATCATGTCCATCTCTGTGTTTATAAATAATAAATATCAATATTATTTTAAATCAATAATTTTATTTTATTCCTCCGTTTTATTATTCATTATAAAATAATCAAATAATAGTAATAATATAACCAATACATTTTTGGCTTGGTCCTAGTTGTGCCTTCGTTAGTACCAGTTTCTTGTAGGACTAGGGTTGATTCTGTCTGATTTATATCAGTGGAAGCAGACCCTGCTGATGATGTTTCACTTATGTTCAATTTAGACGTAGTTTCACTTGTAGGATTGGTCGTAGTGGAGCCTTCGTTTGAACCAGTTTCTTGTAGGACTAGAGTTGATTCTGTCATATTTATATCAGTGGAAGCAGACCCTGCTGGTGATGTTGCACGTCTCTCAATATCAGATGTAGTATCACTTGTTGGCTTAATCCAAGTTGAGCCTTCGTTAGTACCAGTTTCTTGTAGGACTAGGGTTGATTCTGTCGAATTTATATCAGTGGAAGCAGATTCTGCTGGTGATGTTGCACGTCTCTCAATATCAGATATAGTATCACTTGTTGGCTTCATCAAAGTTGAGCCTACATTTGTACCACTTTTTTGTGAGAGTAGGGTAGATCCTGTCAGATTTATATCAGTGGAAGCAAATCCTGCTGGTGATGTTTCACTTATGTTCAATTTAGACGTAGTTTCACTTGTAGGATTGGTCGTAGTGGAGCCTTCGTTTGAACCAGTTTCTTGTAGGACTAGAGTTGATTCTGTCATATTTATATCAGTGAAAGCAGACCCTGCTGGTGATGTTGCACGTCTCTCAATATCAGATGTAGTATCACTTGTTGGCTTCATCCAAGTTGAGCCTTCGTTAGTACCTGTTTCTTGTAGGACTAGGGTTGATTCTGTCGAATTTATATCAGTGGAAGCAGATTCTGCTGGTGATGTTGCACGTCTCTCAATATCAGATATAGTATCACTTGTTGGCTTCATCCAAGTTGAGCCTACATTTGTACCACTTGTTTGTGAGAGTAGGGTAGATCCTGTTAGATTTATATCAGTGGAAGCAAATCCTGCTGGTGATGTTTCACTTATGTTCAATTCAGATTTAGTTTCACTTGTGGGATTGGTCGTAGTGGAGCCTTCGTTTGAACCAGTTTCTGGTGAGAGTAGGGTTGATTCTGTCTGATGTATATCAGTGGAAGCAGACTCCGCTGGTGATGTTGCACGCCTCTCAATATCAGATGTAGTATCACTTGTTGGCTTCATCCAAGTTGAGCCTACATTTGTACCACTTTTTTGTGAGAGTAGGGTAGATCCTGTCTGATTTATATCAGTGGAAGCAAACCCTGCTGATGATGTTTCACTTATGTTCAATTTAGACGTAGTTTCACTTGTAGGATTGGTCGTAGTGGAGCCTTCGTTTGAACCAGTTTCTTGTAGGACTAGAGTTGATTCTGTCATATTTATATCAGTGGAAGCAGACCCTGCTGGTGATGTTGCACGTCTCTCAATATCAGATGTAGTATCACTTGTTGGATTAATCCAAGTTGAGCCTTTTTTAGTACCAGTTTCTTGTAGGACTAGGGTTGATTCTGTCTGATGTATATCAGTGGAAGCAGACTCCGCTGGTGATGTTGCACGCCTCTCAATATCAGATATAGTATCACTTGTTGGCTTCATCCAAGTTGAGCCTACATTTGTACCACTTTTTTGTGAGAGTAGGGTAGATCCTGTCAGATTTATATCAGTGGAAGCAAATCCTGCTGGTGATGTTTCACTTATGTTCAATTCAGATTTAGTTTCACTTGTGGGATTGGTCGTAGTGGAGCCTTCGTTTGAACCAGTTTCTGGTGAGAGTAGGGTTGATTCTGTCTGATGTATATCAGTGGAAGCAGACTCCGCTGGTGATGTTGCACGCCTGTCAATATCAGATGTAGTATCACTTGTTGGCTTCATCCAAGTTGAGCCTACATTTGTACCACTTTTTTGTGAGAGTAGGGTAGATCCTGTCTGATTTATATCAGTGGAAGCAAACCCTGCTGATGATGTTTCACTTATGTTCAATTTAGACGTAGTTTCACTTGTAGGATTGGTCGTAGTGGAGCCTTCGTTTGAACCAGTTTCTGGTGAGAGTAGGGTTGATTCTGTCTGATGTATATCAGTGGAAGCAGACTCCGCTGGTGATGTTGCACGCCTCTCAATATCAGATGTAGTATCACTTGTTGGCTTCATCCAAGTTGAGCCTACATTTGTACCACTTTTTTGTGAGAGTAGGGTAGATCCTGTCTGATTTATATCAGTGGAAGCAAACCCTGCTGATGATGTTTCACTTATGTTCAATTTAGACGTAGTTTCACTTGTAGGATTGGTCGTAGTGGAGCCTTCGTTTGAACCAGTTTCTTGTAGGACTAGGGTTGATTCTGTCAGATTTATATCAGTGGAAGCAGACCCTGCTGGTGATGTTGCACGTCTCTCAATATCAGATGTAGTATCACGTGTTGGATTAATCCAAGTTGAGCCTTTTTTAGTACCAGTTTCTTGTAGGACTAGGGTTGATTCTGTCTGATGTATATCAGTGGAAGCAGACTCCGCTGGTGATGTTGCACGCCTCTCAATATCAGATGTAGTATCACTTGTTGGCTTCATCCAAGTTGAGCCTACATTTGTACCAGTTTCTTGTGAGTGTAGGGTAGATCCTGTCAGATTTATATCAGTAGAAGCAAACCCTGCTGGTGATGTTGCACGTCTCTCAATATCAGATGTTGTATCACTTGTAGGCTTGGTCCAATTTGAGCCTTTGTTTGAACCAGTTTCTTGTGAGAGTAGTGTTGATCCTGTCAGCTTTATATCAGTGGAAGCAAACCGTGCTGGTGATGTTGCACGTCTCTCAATATCAGATGTAGTATCACTTGTAGGCTTAATCCAAGTTGAGCCTACATTTGTACCAGTTTCTTGTGAGTGTAGGGTAGATCCTGTCAGATTTATATCAGTAGAAGCAGACCCTGCTGGTGATGTTGCACGTCTCTCAATATCAGATGTAGTATCACTTGTTGGATTAATCCAAGTTGAGCCTTTTTTAGTACCAGTTTCTTGTAGGACTAGGGTTGTTTCTGTCTGACTTATATGAGTGGAAGCAGACCCTGTTGGTGATGTTTCAGTTATGTTCAATTCAGATGTAGTTTTACTTGTAGGATTGGTCGTAGTGGAGCCTTTGTTTGAACCAGTTTCTTGTGAGAGTAATGTTGATCCTGTCAGCTTTATATCAGTGGAAGCATACCATGATTGTGATGTTGCAAGTCTGTCAATATCAGATGTCCTATTACTTGTAGGCATGATCCAAGTTAAGTTTAGGGTTGAACCAGTTTCTTGTGAGGGTTGAGTTGATCCTTCCTGATTTATATCAGTGAAATTTTTTTGTACTTTAAGATGTTCCATAATTTGTCTTAAATTTTTTACAAATGACACTGTTCGTTGCATATCTTGTTTTATTTTATTTTCGTCATGAAAAATATTATTGCTTAATGTGTCAGCGACATCATTTGTCTTATTATTTAAAAATGATAAAATTTTAAGAATTTCTTTTTGAAATGTTTCCTCAGTGATATTTTTTTTACACGTTGTAGGTGGATTAAAAATTGTCTTTTGAGTACAATATTTTTCTTTGACTTCTTCTAGTAAATTTTTAGAGTTAGTAGCGTTTTGGACGTCAAAGGATTTAATTAATTTTTCGAAACTTTCAACCACAATATTTAATGAGTTTATTGCCTTTTGATATTTTGTATTTATAGTTAAATTGTTGTAAAAAACACTGCAAGCAATATTAAATATAAATTGCAAGTTTAGATTGATAGACTCATGTGTTATATTTTTAACAATTTCTGCAATCTCCTTTGACTCATCTTTAATCTGTAAAAAGTTTAATGTTTTATATAAAATATTACAATGAAAGTCAAGTTAGCTTTTGGTTCTTGTTCATCAACCCTTTCGTAACTTAGGTACTCTTGTGTACCACTTATAAAATTTGATATAACTCTTATAAAAGTATATATTATAGCAATAAATGGAATGGATTGTATTATTAATAAAAGCTTCACGGGGTGTCTAAACAAACTTTAAATGACCACTTTTTTTCTTTCGGATTTTTTCTTGAATTCGATTCAAGAACATAAAAATAGTGTGTAAAATATTTTTTAGTGAAATTCGTCGAGCTGTTTTTAAAAAAGTTATTTTTTGTATTAAAAAATAAATTTTTCAAAAATTAAAAATATATTTTGCCGATTAATTGATTAAGGAAATAGGTAGATTAATAAAATTACAGATTTTATTCTTTATAAATAGAATGAAAACTAATGTTTACATATCATAAGATATTAAAAAATTAACATTTTGTTAACAAACAATGTTAAATTAAACATTAAATTTTATATTTTTCTTTTGTTTATTATATACGTAAATTACCGAAATATCGGTAAATTTTGAATTAATCAAAATTGATTTTTAACATAAAAAATATCTTTTTTTAAAAACGGCTCGATGAATTTCGCTAAAAATTCTTTTACACACTATGTTTAAGCTCCTGAAACGAATGCAAGAAAAAAATCCTAAGTAAAAAAAGTGGCCATTTAAAGTTCGTTCAGGCACCCCGTGGCTTCTAACATATGATACACTTTTTTAGAAGTTATACGCATTTGAAAACAACAGTAAATATATTTGCAACGATTCTGAATACTTCTTAAGTTGCTAATTACATTCGAAACTATATAACTTCTACAAAAACTTATGGATTTTAATCTGTCAGTAAAGTTTTTTGTGGGGGTATTCCCTACTTTTCAATACCAGAAAAAAGTCGTTTAAAAAAAATGTTTAACCTTATTTTTTCAAAATTAACCCTTATCTTTTTTTCTTAAACCCTTATTCCCTCTTAAAAATTCTTCTTATTATTTTTATTTGAAAGCTGAGATTTTTTAACAAAACTGTATAATTATAAAAATGGGACAACATTGATTTTTCAAGAAAATTTGAAAAAAGGTCAGAAAATAGGTTTCTTTACATTTTCTCTTAAGCCCCATGTTGTCCTATTTTTATATTTATACAATTTTATTGAAAAAAAATTTTAACTTTCAAAAAAATTACAGAAAATTTTTTTATGGGGGATATAAAAAATGGTTAATAAAATAATATGGTTATAATTATTTTTAACAATAGTTAAAATATTGATAAAAAAGAAAAATGTTATATTCCAACATAATTTTATTCTTGACTTTTGCTTCCTGATTATTAGCAACAATTGGAATTCTTATGTTTTGGTACTCTCTGATAACAAATTTGAAATAAAATTTTAAGAATTCAAAATTTTAGATTCGTTTAAAATTAGTTACTCAAATGTTTTTGGGGTCGTTAATTACGAATCCGAAGTCAGTTTTTTAAAGTGTTATCAGTTAATGGAGCAATGATAAAATTCATAACTTGATCGTCTCTTAAATACTACATGTCAATGTACCCAATAAAAAGAGAATAATTATAAGGTCTGTTGTTTGTCAGATTCACTATTTTTGTACATTTAATCACTTTTTGAAAATTTATTTTCCAAATTTAATTAGCTATTTTGAATCTTCAAAAACTGTTATTAAATTCATAATCGGCGATCCCAAAAACTCCAGAGTTATATAATGTTTTAACAAAATCCATTCGATGGGTTTTTTGAGGATCAAATGTAATAACTATTGGACTATTTTTTTAATATTTAAGAAATTATAATACATTGTCCAATTAGTGTATATTACCTTTGTTTTATGTAGAACACAGTCATGTATATTATTATACGTTGATAGTAAATTACCGTTTAATAATGATCTGTTGGTAGAAGTATTTGAAAAATTAAAATTTGAAAGTATGTTGTCTAATTTATACAAGTAATAAAGCTTTCCTATATAGCAACTATAGTCACTAACATCATCATTGAATTTGTCAGGAAAATTGAGATAATATTCATTGAAAATAGAAGAGAGTATATTAATGGTATACTCATTTTTCTTATTTTGTGGCCCACATATTGTTGGTATCAATTTTAGCATTTCTTCACTCTTATTAACATTCTTGGAGTTTAAATATTCGTAAGAATTTCGGTGAGAATAAGAATAGACTGTTATGCTTTCCATCATGAAATTAATTAATTTTGAAATATTTGATTCAGCAATTTTTGAATTATTATTTATATTTACTTTATTGCATTTATAATTATTAGAAATCGTTTTGAAAAAATCAGTCGCAATTTTCAAATGTTGCTTAAGTATACTATCTATTGATTTAAGTTTCTTTTTTTCATTGTCAGTCAAGACAGGAATATTTTCATTTATCTGTAAATAATTAAATAAAATTAATTTTATTAATAATAATTATTTTGTTGCTTATTTAATCTATGTGATATTTACCTCCTCATAGTAGGCTATTGATAAATTTTTAGTTTCTCTTAAAATTTGAGTTAAATTTTTTATTATATTATTGCCATTATCTAATGAATAAACTTGTAAATCTGTTTTGATAGACTTCATGGTAGAAGAATAGGTTGTTAAGAATGCATGCAAATTAATGTCGTCAAATGGATGATTGGTAAGTTTAGTTTTTAAGTTAGAAAAGAATTTCAAATATTCCGAATGAATCTCATATAGAATGTTTAGTTTTTGTCTATCATCTTCCATTTCTTGATTTTTTGGCAAAGTTCCATTTGGTGATTGACAATTTTGTATTAAGTCGTTTGCATTGTAATTTTTAGAATTTATTATAGATTGAACAGCATTATTTTTGTAATAATTTTTCATCTCCGCTTCACTTATATTGTTTTGTAACATTTTTTGAACTTGATATGTAGCTTCAATAGAATCAGAAATACTTTTTTTTTGATAAATCATTATCGCATTCTTTGAACCGGGACAATTATAATTATATATGCTTATTATTATGTCTGTAATATGCCTTAAGTATTCAATAAAAATATTTAACACATGTTTTTTCAAACCTACAGAATTCACATTTTTCAACTGCAGAAGAATATGATAAAAATGATTAGTAAACATAATTCAAATATACCCATATTTATTATTATATTAATAATATTAAATTTTTTATACCTGATTGTAAAGCATCCTTATTTCATTTGACTTTTGAGTGTCACTATTGTTACTGGAAAGAATTTTCTGCATATTCAAAAGTAAAGGAGAAAACAGATTAATCTGTCGATTTAACTTTAAGTTTACAAAATCTTTATAATATATCAATTCTGTCGTGTCATCTATAAAGTTTTTACTATCTCTTGTTATTTCGAAACAGAGATAAAAAAATTTACGTATATTTTTAGCAAGGTTGCGTCTATCATTCACAATGCCAGTTGAGTTTTTGATACAAGTATTACGATATTTAAGGAGTATGTTAATAAAGTAATTTTTTGTACTTCTAATTGTCGTTAATATTTCTCTCACACTTAATTTAGACCTTTCCCTATATTCACTACTTAAAAACTCAGCATTTGCACGAATATAATTTGTAAGGTCATTAAATAATTTATTATTCCATAATCTAGAAATAGTTTGATTCATTGTTAAAGAATCATTCGAATTTAAAGAGCAAAAAGTAATATTTTTATACAAGTTCAATATTTCAGCATATTTTTTAAAGATATTAATTAAATTTGTATACGCTTCTTCAACGTCATTAAATTTAGTGTTGCTCTCCTGTAATTTAGAAGATGTATTAATTTTTTTCATATTTATTTGTTAAAAACGAATGACTATTGACTGAAATCTAGAAGATTTAGAGACGAAGAAATCTTCTCTCTTATTTGGGTTGTTCGGGTTGCACTAAGTTATTTTAAAACAAAGTTTTAATTTTTCCAGAATTTTTTTTAGGGAAATTCTTTGAGTACTACTGACATTTTTGCTTTTAATAAATCCTAAATGGTTGACGAAAAATTCAAGAGAATAGAAAGGGTTGCACAGAGAAGGAAATCAGTGATTTTCTTAAAAATATGTCGGAGGTTTTTTATTTCAACGAATATGCTTGTAATTTTTTATTCAAAAGTTTTTGTGCCACCATGGAGTCAAGAAGTGCTAGCTAGCGCCATGAATTTTTTCTACCGAGGTTAAGGACGCTATATTTTGTTATTCCAGGGATTTCCTAAAGTGGTTTTGATTTAAAAATTTAATTTAAAAAATGCAGAAAAAATTTAAGACTTTTTTTTTTGTTTAAGGATATGTGAGAACCTCCCACGTTATTTAGTATGGGAAAATGTGTTTTGGTAGTATACATCTTACTCTAAAATGAAATAGATTTTTATCTACAATTTTGAGGGATGATAGATTAGGGTTCAAGGAACCTTGCTGTTCTCCGAAAAATGCATTATTTTGCGTTAAATTATTAAAAAATAAAGTCTAAAAAGTGGCATTTTTAAACGAAAATGAAAACAAACATGGCGGCGCATACACAGAAGTTGCTTGAGTGTGTTAGTGTTCCATTAAACAGCGCCAATTCGAGCTTTTGGTCGCTGAATGAACTATGATTAAATACATTAATTTAGTATTTATTGTTTTATTTTTGCGTTAAGTTGTAGTAAATGAGTAAAACAGCGAGATTCCTTGTACCAAACAAAATCATTTCTCCAAAATTTTAACTCGAAATCATTTTTTATTTCAGAGAAAGTTTCAAGCCACAAAAAACCGTCCTTTGCCCACATACCCTTAATCTATTTTAACTTTTTTTCCCTTAAGGTCATCCGGGAAAAATCACTAACCTAAAAGTGTTTTCCCTTGCGAGATATTACTCGTAAATAATTTGAAATATCTTGTTCGGATTTGTCGGATTAATTAGATAAGGGCGAGCTGATTAAGAATCATCTCCATTTTGACAAGTAATTTTGTAGAAAAGTATTGAAAATCGTGGTTATAAAAGTTGGATTTTTAGCAGAAGTGGGGGACAGATATTGAATCTATGTGTCAGTGGCCCAGAAGGTGGCGCTAATTCTAACTAGTGGCCGCTGCTGAACTAACTTATCCCAAATTACTCCACTTTAAATCTTTAATAAAATAATTTCCTCACAATATTATTGCAAAAATGGAGAAGAGTGATGAACTCAGTGACCCTTTCTTTATTATTCCTCCAAATGCCAACTCGAAATACTTTATCCTTTAAAGATGAGAAGAAATCTACGAAACCCTTTTTTTCCAATGTTTAAACATTTTTTTCAATAATTATTTATCAAGATTATGCAAAATTCCAAGAAGAGCCCACGGCAGAGTACATTCCTCTATTATTTTCAAAAAATTACAACCTAAAATATTCTGTTTTTTTTCAAATGAGAAGAAATCTACAAAACCATTATTTTCTCCCGGATGCCCTTAAGGCCATGTGGGCAAAGGACGTTTTTTGGTGGTTTGAAACTTTCTCTGAAATAAAAAATGATTTCGGATTAAAATTTTTAAGAAATGATTTAGCAGGGTGCAAGGCATATGGCTGTTCTTCTCATTTATTATTATTTGACACAAAAATAATAAAAATAAAGCAACCCAGTAAAAAAGGATTTTTTGAGATAGAAGTTCGCACAATTGAGCAAGCCGTTTGCTCAATTGTCTAAAATGCATTCGGACAATTGGAGTGTTTGTTCAATTGTCCAATGCATTATGCCCAATCATCCGCAATATTTCTCGTGTCTAAAAAGCTGCTAAAATAATATGAAAAACTATTGAAACATTGAAAAAACGGTAGAAAATGCATAATTCTTAATATATACAGAAAAAGAATGTATTGGGATTGGCGGTCGTGACGTCACAAAACAAAAATGGCTGACAGAAGTAGGTAACTTTTGTTGTTTGAGTACTAGAGTCCAGTGAATTTTTGATAATAAGTTTTAAAAAAGTCAAAATGCGACTCACTGTGGGCGAAATTTGTGCGTTTGCACAATCGACACCCACATCTCGGAATTTTGTTGAGGGTGAAAAAGTGTTAAATGCCGGACATGTAATATTTTGTGGACGAGGAAATGATGACACCGCTGATGAAAATTCTGTTTTTTTCTTGGCATTTTGCTTACAATCATCTAATCTGACAAGTAGTCCTCATGAAATGAATGGACTAATTTCATTAGATGGAAAAATTTTGAAAGTGAAATGTTCCTGTAAAGCGGGTTTAAGTGAGAAATGTAAGCACATTGTTGCTGTTTTACTTCACCTAAGCAGGTTAGTTATTTATTAATTTATTCGTTTGGAAAGTTTTAAATTATAATGAATAATATAATTCTGTCAAAGCAATATTTATTTTTAAAAATGTTTTCATTAAAGTTGCATTAAGAGTTACTATTTTATTGTTTTTTAGGTTATGTTTAATATATGTTTTTATTTTTATTATATTGTTAAAAAAGTGTTATACAATTTATAATTAGATTTTAATAATACTTTAACAATTGCATTTAATAGAAAAAAGTAATGTTTTTTGTTGTTTTACAGTGTTTATAGCAAATTATTATATTTCGGTTCTAGGATCGACGTAAATGATTTAGACGAAGTTTCTTCAACCGAAAAGCAGTGTCTGTGGAATCAACCTCAGGCGAATTCTCTCAAGAAATATGCTCCAAGACCATTGAGTGAACACGAATGTTATGTCGAAAAATTTAAAAAACAATGTTCCATCACAATTACTGACGAGAAAAGAAAGAAAATAAATGAAATCCTTATTTTGAGGAATCCAGATTCAGCATTGTACAAACACATGTACGGATAATTTTAATGACACATTTTGTTTTTACAAAAATTACTAATTAATTGAATATGTGAAATACTAAAATGATTTTTTTATAACAATTATTAATTTAATGCGAATTGCAAAAACGATTTTTTTATATATTTATTAGATACAAATTTGATAATTGGATTATTTCGTCTAAAAATTGATTTTTTATATTATTTACATTTATTTTTTAGAATTTTTTTTAAAACAAACAACACAAAATTTACAATTTTACTTTACACACTTGTAATATTACAATGGATTTATTAGGGCAGGAAGACATGAACCATTTCTCATAGAACAAAACAATAATGTGTTGGAAGTAACGGAGGATGAACAAATCCAAGCTGTATTAGAAATTGAACCTTCTGAATGTATGCTGGAGTTATTAAACACTGAACCGAAAGAACCTTCTAAAAATTGCTGCGTCAACGTATTAAATTCTTTAAGGGTTGATAATAATATAACAATTTGTTCGGAAACATTAAAAAATAGAAGAATTTGGAAAGAAAATAGAAAATACAGAATAACAGGTTCAAGATGCTACTCTCTGTACACCTATACGAACAATGCTAAAGCAAACTGGCAGAAAAAATCCGAAAATTATTTTTATCCTAAGGAATTTACAAAAACCGAAGCCATCAAGCATGGAATTGAAATGGAACCGTTTGCGAGAACTGCTTACGAAACTAATTTTAATGTTAAAGTTGTTCAGTTAGGCCTCGTTGTCTCACCTGACAATCCTTGGCTCGCTTATTCACCAGATGGAGTAATTTTAAATGAAAATAATAGGCCTGAGAAATTAATTGAAATAAAGTGCCCATTTAATGGAAAAATAAAATGCATTGAAGAAGTTGTACCTTCTCTTCATTATATAGACAAAAATAATTGTCTAAAAAAGAAGAATCCTTATTACGGTCAGATTCAACTCGGAATGGCGATATTAAATGTCAAAAGAACTGATTTTATTGTATACTCATCGTTTAATAATAGTTTTTATCTTGAAGAAGTTGAATTTGATCCTGAATTTACGAAAGAAATGTTGTCAAAATTAAAAGAAAAATACTTCAACACAATGTTGCATTATATTTGTATTAAAAATAACACTACTTAATAAATTGTAAATTATTCAAGCAGAATAAATAAGTTTCTATTTATTTATTAATAATTGTAAATTATTCAAGCAAAATAAATAAATTTCTTTTTATTTACGATTTAATAAAAACATTAATACATATTATTTACATCAATTAAATTATTTAAAACCAATTTGTAATTTTTATGCATTTAATGCATTAATTCAGCAAAAATAAAATTTTAGTGAATCTTTAAATATTGGTTTACTTAAATTTACCACAGCACACAGAATGTTCATAATTTTTTCACTTTTTGGAATAAGACACGAAGACATTTTACCGCTAAGTATTTCAAATACTTTTAATCTTTGGTTTAATCTCTCCACGTGAACCCTTGCGCTTGCAATGTCTGCATTTTTAATGCACTATCGACTGAAAATTGTGATTGTTTTCTAAGAAATGACGGTCTTATTAAATTTAATTTGTTGTCGATGCACAAGTCGTCGATTAAAAAACCTTTATCCACCATCACAGATGAACCTTTCGGTAAATGATCCACTAAAAAGCTTTGGCTGAAAATTGCTTTGTCAGATGCTCTGCCCCCATAAACTTTCGAAACATACGACAGAGTTCCGGCAGGAGTTACTCCTGTCATGAATTTTATCGTATATCCCCCTTTATAGTGAGAATAACAATTAATTTGGCAGCACAAGTTCTTCGGTTTCTGAATTCCTATTTCAGTGCAATCTAATATTATTGTTGTATTAGGATAATTGGCAAAGCAAAGAGGAATGTTTCTCGAAATTTCATCTTGAGATGAAAAATGAATCATCGGTTTTAAAACAATTTCCAAAATGTCCAGAGTATTATAAATAATTTCTGAGCAATTTCTTATAGTGACAGTAGGAAATAACAGTGAGAGAAACGAGTAACTAACGTTTTGTTTTAGCTTCACAAACGTCAGTAAAATTCTGTCCCGAATATTTAACACTCGAGTCGTACTTTTTAATTCTGGTGCAGCTTCGCTGAATGCATCTACTATGCTGTCAAATAATTGAAAACATTCAATCCCTGTAGCGGTGCTTAATTGTTGATCAGTTTTCAAAAAATGATCAAAGAAGCTTGAAATTAAATCTCCACTCGTAACCTGTACCTCAGCATCAGCAAATAATTTTTCAAATGCTGCAATTTCTTCATTTAAATTCGTGTTAGTAACAGCTGACTCATCATTTATTTTCTTTTCGTTACCAGTCGCATTGTTAATTTTAGGATCAAGCAAACAATTGCAAATTTCAATGTTTTCATTTTCCTTTGAATCATTTTTTTGGCGATTTTCGAATCGAGCTTGTCTTTCCTTAATATTTTTAACTGATACTTCTGATGGATTTGATTCTATGGAAGATTTCGGTAAGTTCACAGATGGTATGACTGTTCTCTTTAAAACTTTTACTTGAGAAAAATCTAAAAAGATAATATTTACTATATATTTACATGTAAAATAAAATTAATAAATGAAAATAAACAAATAATTTTGAAGTTCGTTATATAATTAAAATTAAAATCGTAAAAATTTAATTTTTATTTGTTTGGAAACAATACAGTACTTTATATTTATTTACTTACCAGATTTTGTAACACACGTAAAATCTTTTTTGACAAAGTGCAAAGAACAAACTCTCATGCTACGTGTCACCTTTTTACCCATTCTCAACACTCTTTCCCACAAAATTCTCTTGTCAATTAACTCGACAGTTCCAAATTTATTAACATAATTAATTTTCATTTGTCCTTTTTTCGGAAAATAGTGGAAACTGAGGTTAGGAGTTTTGACAGGTGTACTATTGCATTTATAAACACAACAGAATATTTTACTTTTTGAAAATTTTGTTGGAACTGGTTCCGCTGTTTCTTTCTCATCCATTGCGGTATAAAATGATATTTAACTTTTTTAATATAACTTAAAAATTCACTTTTTCTCTACAATAAAAAATGTCTTTGCTATATTTCCATAGTTTTCACCGGTTTGTTTACTTTTTCTACCTACTGCGTTTAACTCAACTTTCTGCCACCAGTTGGCGCATCAACATTTAGCCAATCCCAATAAAAATACCTTGATCGAGGAAAAGGAAAGAGTTTTCCGAAAAATCACTTTTAACTTACAGTATACTGCTGTACTTGACATTTTAAGGGTAAAGAAGAGAAGATTATGATAATGAGTGACACTTCATTATCGACTCTTAATATTTGTCGAATGGTAAAATATAATAGTAAATTTCTTTCTGATTTTTTAAAAAAGGAATAATTATTGAATTAAAAATTTTCTTACTTTTCTATTTCATTTATTGTTATGTTTTTATTATATGTTTTTATTTTTTAGTACTAATTTAAATATTTTTATTTAAATTTTAATTAAATTAATTAAATTAAAAATTAGTTTAATTACACCCAGAGAAATGATTTATTTGAACCAAATAAAATATATTTGAGTTAAATAAACGTATATTTGTCTTAGAGCCTACTAACTTATTTATTTGGCATAATTAAAAATTGTATTTGTCATAAATAAATTTTTCTTTGGTTCAAATAAATTTTTTATTTAAACGAAATAAAATATATTTGCAACAAATAAATGAGTTAGTAGGCTCTGAGACAAATATACAATTTCTCTAAGTGTATTTGAAATTATTTAGCACATAAGTATAATTATAATTATATATTATTATTAATTAATAATATTATATTAATATTATTCATATTATGTATTATAATACCTATATATTATAATCATACATCAAATAGATAAAATTTAAAAAAAAATATTTTATTTTTTTTATTTAAAAAATATATATATATATATGTATATATATAATTTAAGAATGAATAGAAATATCATTATATTTTACTATTCGACAAATATTGAGAGTCGATAATGAAGTGTCACTCATTATCATAATCTTCTCTTCTTTACCCATAAAATGTCAAGTACAGCAGTTTACTGTCAGTTAAAAAGTTATTTTTCGGAAAACTCTTTCCTTTTCCTCAATCAAGGTATTTTTATACATTCTTTTTCTGTATATATCAAGAATTATGCATTTTCTACCGTTTTTTCAATGTTTCAATAGTTTTTCATATTATTTTAGCAGCTTTTTAGACACGAGAAATATTGCGGATGATTGGGCATAATGCATTGGACAATTGAACAAACACTCCAATTGTCCGAATGCATTTTAGACAATTGAGCAAACGGCTTGCTCAATTGTCCAAACTGCTATCTCAAAAAATCTTTTTTTACTGGAAATAAATAGTAAAATAATGTATTTAACCATAGTTCATTCAGCGGCCACTTGCTCGAATTGGTGCTGTTTACTAGAGCACTGACACACTCAAGCAACGTCTGTGTATGCGCCGCCATCTTTGTTTTCATTTTCGTTCAAAAATGACACTTTTTGAACTTAATTTTTTAATAATTTAACGCAAAAATATGTTTTTTCAGAAGAATCAGCGGTATGCATTGTACCCAAGATCTACTATATGGGTCAATCCATTATATTTCGACTGAAGTGGTCGCTGACTAATTTTTAAAAATTATAATACTTTGCAGGAATGATTTTGAAGTTATCAAGATCACGAAATGAAAAGAATTTTATTAAAATTTTAATTATTTATTGCAAAATATGAATTTAAAGTATATGAGGTGCTGAAAACTGTCAATTTTTTAGCCATTAGAAAATATACAAAAATACGTAGAATTTACCATAAAAATAAAAAAATTTTTTTGTAATTTACTAAGAATGAATAAATTTATCATTATCAATTGATGTAATTATTTAAATATGTGAAATAATATATAAAATATGATTTTGAAGTTCGCCTGTCAAATAACCTAAATTTGCAAATTTCATCTATTAAATGTGAGAAAGAGAAGTCATTAAATTGAAAAAAACCTTACCAAATATAAAGTACCTGTGACTAACTTTTAGTTTTTCTTAGCACTTTTTTCCTTTTTTCTTCATAAATGTGAAATAAAAAAAAATCTCAAAAAGTATCTTCGGGACCAAAGCGAATTTTTTTCCAGTGTGTGTATTTAGTGATCAATTAGATATTGCCCAAGTTTTGTAATTTTTCAGTTTTCTCCAAGAAAGTTATTTACATTTGAAAATAGTGAAAATAAGCAAAGTGCCAATTTTTATTGCTTTTTATTTCACATTTATGAAGAAAAAAGGAAAAAAGTGCTAAGAAAAACTAAAAGTTAGTCACAGGTACTTTATATTTGGTAAGGTTTTTTTCAATTTAATGACTTCTCTTTCTCACATTTAATAGATGAAATTTGCAAATTTAGGTTATTTGACAGGCGAACTTCAAAATCATATTTTATATATTATTTCACATATTTAAATAATTACATCAATTGATAATGATAAATTTATTCATTCTTAGTAAATTACAAAAAAATTTTTTTATTTTTATGGTAAATTCTACGTATTTTTGTATATTTTCTAATGGCTAAAAAATTGACAGTTTTCAGCACCTCATATACTTTAAATTCATATTTTGCAATAAATAATTAAAATTTTAATAAAATTCTTTTCATTTCGTGATCTTGATAACTTCAAAATCATTCCTGCAAAGTATTATAATTTTTAAAAATTAGTCAGCGACCACTTCAGTCGAAATATAATGGATTGACCCATATGCAATTGTTTTGTTTGCTAAAATTAATAACGATTAGCTCAAACATGAAAAGAGAATAACGTACATTTCGAACAAAAAGGGTTAAATTTATATTATATATTTGTCATTATTTAAGCTAGTTTTACTAGTACACTGGAATCTCCCAAGAGAGGTATTCTCAAGAGAGGACTAAGTATAGACGCGACGTGGTTCGGAGTGAGGGGTGAAGAGAAGGGAGGGGCTAGAAAATGCAACGTGAACGCAGGAGCGTCTGTTCTGAGTGTAGCTTTGTCGCGTAGCGTTTTGATTCCGAAATTTTTTGTTAAATGACATTAAATGACATGTTTTTATAATTTGTTTAACTTAAAGAACGGCCCGTTTTCAAATCTTAATTAACATTTTTTAAATTTATAAACATTTATATTAGTAAAATGTATTTTGTTAAAAACCACATCTCCGATATTGGATATACGGCCCTGAATGTTTACAGTTTTCGAAGTCAAGGGCGTATTCCGTAGAGAGGTCCAAGACTCTCGCTGTCCTCTCTTCGAAGATTCCAGTGTATTATTACCAAAATTATAAATGTTTGAAATAGTTATGCCTGATGTCTGTAACTATCTTTTACTACTATATCTCTAGCTATAAGTCTTAATTTTTTTTTGTCGTCTAATTTTCAGTGGATCTTTTAGATATCAGTGAATAGCCCACCCATTAAAAACAAATATGTGTCGAAATTCCTGAATTGTACCAATAGTAAAAATGTAAACTTTGGATTTTTTTGGAGAATCATAACAATTGTATAAAACGGTGAAAAAAAAATTTGACCTATAAGTTTTCGAAAATTTTTTTCCTTTTCTTTCGAATAGTACAAATTTTTTTTAAAAAAATTCAAAATTTACCCATTTTTTGAAAATCAAGAATATTTTTTACATTTCTTTAAAAAAGGAGCCTTTTTTTCTTTTTTTACCCCTTAAAATGAAGCTTTAAAAGTAGGTATATAGCTTCATTTTAAGTGGTAAAATAAAGAGAAACAAGGAGGGGGTCCTTTATGTTTATTTCATAAACATTATGCTTCCTCATTGTGTGAAGCAAAAAATTTGCTTCCTCGTGAAGGAAGCAATGTATTTGTCCAATTCAATTGATTGATTTAAAAAATTTCGAGTTAAAAATGTTTTAAATTAATTAAATTTTTTGAAAAATAAAGAAAATTTTAATTAATTTTGAGTGTAACATAAACTTTATATATACGAATCGATTCGTTTTAATGCAAGGAAAACAATTATTTTATTCATCAACTTGAATTTAAAAAAAACACAAAATTTTTTAGCTAAAATATGAATTTTCGATTTTTCAATTTTTATTAATTCTCAAATTTTAAATCAAATCTATACTTTATATATACCAACCAATTCGTTTCAATGCAGGGAATAAAATTATTTCATATATAAACATGAATTTAAATAAACACATCATTTTTTAGCTAAAATGAGAATTTTTTATTTTTTAACTTTCTTTAATTCTTTAAATTTCAATCAAATCTATACTTTATATATATCAATCGATTCATCTTGACATAAAGAAGACGATTATATTATATATTACCTTAAATTTTTCGATTTAAAAATTTTTTCAATTAAAAAAAAATTTTTGTAAAAAAGACGATAAAATTTTTTTTTTGGGGTATTTTTAAAAATCCTCTCGTCATTTTTGAGAGATTATTGTGTTAAATAAGCCTACCAAATTTTACCCAAATCCATTAAAACCTGTTAAAGATATCGTGTTCACAAAAACTATCCACACACACATACACACACACACACACACACACATACATACATACGGACAATTGATCAGGATCTCATATAACATGTTTCTATATAGAGGAAAATTTGTTTTCACCATTTTTAAAAAGTTTATAAACGAAAGGACTACATAGCTTCCTCCACGAGGAAGCAAAAGGGTCTTTTTTTAACAAAAAGTTAAAAACAGTTTTAATTTTCAAAAAAGTGGTAAATTTTGAATATTTAAAAAAAAATTTTGCTCGAAAGAGTAGAAAAAGCCTTTTCGATAACATATAGGTCAAATTTTTTTCATCAATTTATACCGATTTTTCAAAAAATTCACTATTTTACAAAAATTTTAATTCTCTTCCCCCTCTACAGTTTTTGATAAAAATTAATAATAATTTGTGAGTGAAATATTTATCCATAGTACTAAATGTCATGCAAATTATAGCCTGCTCTAAGAATTTTTTTTTTTGAATTGTTACAATTCAAAAATTTAGCCTCATATTTAAAAAATAAAAATGTTTATACCTGCATAATTTTAGCTTCTAATTGTTTATTAGTCTTGTTCAAGAAAGTAGAAGACAACGTTTGTTCTTGAATTAAATTCCTGATGTTTAAAATTACATTCATTGTTTTTTCAATCAAATTTAAATTTATTCCATTAACATTTAGCTGCTGTGATTTTAAATTCTTAATAGACTCAACAACCATATAACGAATTAAAATAACAAATTCAAACAAACCTTTTGCAGAGTTAAAATTTTCATTGTTATACATACATTTATACTCTTCTAATTCACATTTAAATGAGACGTTACTATTCAATTTATTAATATCATTTAAAAAATTTTGATAACTGACATTCTGTTTTCCTAAACTGATTTCTCTACTGTAATATAGAAGAGAGTTATGGAGAACACGAATTAAAGATTCTTGTTTTGTATTATATTCTTCGTTTATACTTATTTCAAAACAACATGCTTCTTTAAATGTTTTGTAAAATATTTCAACAATAGAATCTAGTATTATTTCAATATTATCACCAACTGTCAATATGCGTTCAACATGAATGTCTTGTTGACTCTAAAAAAAATTATAATATTCAACATCAAAACAATAATATTATTATTAACGTTAGAAAAACTAAATTACATTTATGTGAATTTCTACAAAATTATGTACTATAGTACTAAAAAAGGCTAAGGGGAGATTTAAATTTTTTTCAAAATTAACATCTGTACAAATTATAAAATATAAAAAATTACCAACGTAAAAACATTTAATATTATAAGTGCATTAAATTTATAAATAAATGTAGTTTTATTATAATAATTGTGTTAATTAAATGAAACTCTGTTCAAAAATATATACAAAATTCTTTAAGGAACTGAAATTTCCTTCTTGAACAATTCAAATATATTTAAAAATGCACATAAGTCAACTTCTTTTGTATCACTTTATAAATTTATAAAAATAATTTAAACTTTTTTTAAAGTCAAAAAAATACGTTACTTTCTAACAAAAAATGTGTCTAGTACATTATTAGTTATTTGTAATTTACCTCATTTTTTTGATTTTGAATTAGTTTTAGAACTAAATTTTTCGCTTCATCCACATTCTTCTGCTTAACAGCTATCTGATAGTTTTCATTTTTATCCTTGACCGTTGTAGATGTGTCACGATTTGCATTAGAACTTGGAATACTTTTACAATATACCAAAAAAATCAATGAATTGACACTCAAGTAGAGAAGAAAATAAAAATTTCTTCTCATTTTTACTTTATTCTTGATGTAGGTTTCACTGGGTATAGAATTTTTTTGAAATTCTTTTCAAAAAAATTCTTCCTTTTATACAGAACTTTTAGAGCCACATATGAAAAACTTTGCATATGTGCCCTAAAAATATTGGTCAGGGCGCACTTAAAATACTTTTTAATGCCAATTCACAAATTAGAAGGCAACATATTCATTTATGTTAAGAATATATAATGCAAACTATAGCCAATGAAAATTATTCACAGTAATGAAAAAGTTATGTTTAGTTTACAAAGAAACAATTTTTTTATTTCTATTTCGTGAATTCTTTTTGATAATTAAAATCGTGCATACACAATAATAGTTGAAAAATGTTTTAACTACTTAAAAATATTCCTACTCGAAATTAAATTCTAAAATTGAATTAAAATATTGCACAAATTAAAACTTTTATTTTATAGTTTTAAACAAATGGATTATTCTCAATTTGAGAAGAAAATATCCCAATTACTAAATTTATTTTTTAAAAGCTTCACAACTACCCAGATAGCATAAAAGCTAGTAATAAACTTAGAGCGAAATTATTATGTCAGAGGAAAAATTTTTCATGTTATAGGAAATCGAAGCAAAGTTCGCCAAAGATTTGACTTCACTTTACTAAATTAATTTCTCTGTACATTCTATATTCAAATTTATCTTTCTCTAGAAGACACCAAATATTTCTTGGATCAAAATTAAAATATCAACAAAATTTTAAATAAATGTTTTATTTTAATGAAACTAGGCCACCAGGGTAATTAATCGACAATAAAATTAATTATTTATAACTCGACATATTCCATCCCCCCACAGCACCGAAACTTTCTTAAAGATTTATTTGAAATATTTCAAATAAATCTTTAGGGTCAATCCATTATATTTCGAATGAAGTGGTCGCTGACTAATTTTTAAAAATTATAATACTTTGCAGGAATGATTTTGAAGTTATCAAGATCACGAAATGAAAAGAATTTTATTAAAATTTTAATTATTTATTGCAAAATATGAATTTAAAGTATATGAGGTGCTGAAAACTGTCAATTTTTTAGCCATTAGAAAATATGCAAAAATACGTAGAATTTACCATAAAAATAAACAAAAATTATTGGAATTTACTAAGAATGAATAAATTTATCATTATCAATTGATGTAATTATTTAAATATGTGAAATAATATATAAAAAATGATTTTCAAGTTCGCCTGTCAAATAACCTAAATTTGCAAATTTCATCTATTAAATGTGAGAAAGAGAAGTCATTAAATTGAAAAAAACCTTACCAAATATAAAGTACCTGTGACTAACTTTTAGTTTTTCTTAGCACTTTTTTCATTTTTTCTTCATAAATGTGAAATAAAAAGCAATAAAAATTGGCACTTTGCTTATTTTCACTATTTTCAAATGTAAATAACTTTCTTGGAGAAAACTGAAAAATTACAAAACTTGGGCAATATCTAATTGATCACTAAATACACACACTGGAAAAAAATTCGCTTTGGTCCCGAAGATACTTTTTGAGATAATTAAGTTTAAATTTTTCACAATTTTTATCAGGTTAATACATGTAGTTTTTTAAGGACGAAGTTAGGTTTTATTGGTTAAATATTTTGAACTAACTTCAATTTTATAAAAATCACATGCATTAACCTCATAAAAATTGTGAAAAGTTTAAACTTAATTATCTCAAAAAGTATCTTCGGGACCAAAGCGAATTTTTTTCCAGTGTGTGTATTTAGTGATCAATTAGATATTGCCCAAGTTTTGTAATTTTTCAGTTTTCTCCAAGAAAGTTATTTACATTTGAAAATAGTGAAAATAAGCAAAGTGCCAATTTTTATTGCTTTTTATTTCACATTTATGAAGAAAAAAGGAAAAAAGTGCTAAGAAAAACTAAAAGTTAGTCACAGGTACTTTATATTTGGTAAGGTTTTTTTCAATTTAATGACTTCTCTTTCTCACATTTAATAGATGAAATTTGCAAATTTAGGTTATTTGACAGGCGAACTTGAAAATCATTTTTTATATATTATTTCACATATTTAAATAATTACATCAATTGATAATGATAAATTTATTCATTCTTAGTAAATTCCAATAATTTTTTTTTATTTTTATGGTAAATTCTACGTATTTTTGCATATTTTCTAATGGCTAAAAAATTGACAGTTTTCAGCACCTCATATACTTTAAATTCATATTTTGCAATAAATAATTAAAATTTTAATAAAATTCTTTTCATTTCGTGATCTTGATAACTTCAAAATCATTCCTGCAAAGTATTATAATTTTTAAAAATTAGTCAGCGACCACTTCAGTCGAAATATAATGGATTGACCCTTTAGGAAAATTTTTAGAAAAGTTTCCGTGCTGTGGGGGTCAAATCTAAAAGAAAAGAATGAAATAATTCTGAGAGAAATTAAGTATGCCTGCTTTAATCAATAATAATCAAAAATACAATATTAAATTAAGATAGTCTACTCTTAATTCAAAACTTCAACCCTCTCTACTATCTACAAATATTTTTTTAATGAGTTTATATTTTAGGGATTTATTACTATCATATAGGACAACAATTTACCAAAGTATGAAGCCAATTCCAGAACATTCACTTTTTGGGCTGGGGCGATTGAAAAAGAATCTCTCATATGTATAACATGTTAGGATATGATAATATGTTTTTCTTAACATCATAGCAATTTTAAACATCAAGTTTAAAATTCTTTTGAAATAATGTTTAAATGTAAACAAATAATCAATTAACATTTGATAAAGTTATGTAATTAAAATAATATAAAGCACCGGATATTTAAAGATAAGTGAGAATACAAGTTACATATTTTATATAATATATGCAAAGACATATATCATATAAATAAAAAAAATTATTGAATAAAAATAAATAACTAAAAATTAATTATTATTATTTCAGTTCTCCCACGGATTTTCTTTTCAATAATAAATTAAAATAATTAAAATACTATTGTGGGAAGAGAAAGGGGAGGGTACACTAAAACGTCAATCGAGAACAGACGAATGTGCAGTGCTGTTCTCGATTGACGCGATTTTTATCGCTCGAAAATAAAAACACTCAGGGCCGTATGAAGTGCCTTACGCAACAATGTGAATTTTATCTAGGGGATTTTCACTAGTGGGGCACTGAATCCACCTTAAATTTAAAAATCCCAAGTACGACTTTGGCGTCAGTCATAACCTAAATTCTACCCGCTTCCCCTCAAGTGTTCCCTTGCTCTGTTGTCGACTGACGTGTTCTCGATTGACGTTTTAGTGTATATAATATTTTATATTGTACATCATACTAGTATTGTACCAGTACAATAACAGTACGTTATACTAAGTCACAAAAGTTTTCAGTACGTCGTACTCGTATTCTACCGATATTGCATACCGGTACGCCGTACTAGTACAGTACCTCGTACCGTGCGAAGGTACATGGCTGGTACAGTACCAGTACGCCTAGTACGCCGTACTAAGGGTATACTTCCGAAGTAGGGGTACCTCTGATCTTAATGAAACTTGGTATACTAACGTATTTTGGTGCGCTGATTACGAAAATGATAGTGAAAATTGGCGCAAATCTGATTATCATGGTAAAAACCATAAAGTCATGGTTTTTTGCGATTATCTCGTAAAAAATGCAAAATTTCGAAAAAACACCGAAAAAACGATATTCTAATTTTAAGAATTTTCAACTTATTTTAAGAATATGCGAGACTTAAATAGGCGCCACGAATATATTCTTAAATTAAGAATAGAATATTCTTATATTAAGAATACTTTCTTAGAATCACTTTTTTAGAATATAATCTTAAAATAAGTCTATTTTCTTCTTGTATCAAGAAATATACTTTTAGCAGTTTTAAGAATACTATAAATTTAATTATCAAATCCATAGTAAAACCTCTCACTCTTTTCATGGTGTTTATATTATTACCTACACACAACACACAAATATAAATAATAATATAAAACATTGAAAAATACAACAAAAAAAAACAAAAAAAAGCAAAAAACAACAACTCGTCTTTATCGATGCTACACTGAAAAAGCAATCGATAACGGCTATATAGCTATATACACGTTGTTGGATCGTGGCGACGACTGCACACACGCTTGACAGTTTTCGCGGCAAATAGAGGTAATGTTGACCACTTTTGGTAATCAACATGTAATCAAAAAACCTATAATTATATTAATAAAATAATTGCACGACGACTCGTTTGTCAATGGCGACGCGAACAAGCTAGCAGCACGTCAATTCTAGTGCATATTCTTGTTTTAAGAAGAAGAAGATTTAGTACATAGAAAATATTCTTAAAGTTAGAATCTGCTTAAGAATATTATTAAGAATATTTATGTAAGAATATAACATTCTTAAAACTAGAATATTTTAAGAATATTTTTAAGAATATTTTTTTAAGAAAATAATAATCTTAAAACTAGAATACCGTTTTTTCGGTGAAGTTTTAGACAAAAGTTGTAGATCTCAAAAAAACAAACATTTTATGTTTTATGCATTTTTTTTACCGAAAGTCATTATTTTTCGAGAAAAATCCAAAAAACCAAAAACACCATGATAATGAAAACATATACAACAGTCATGGTTGGACATATTATTTGACTCGTATATAGTATCATATTCACCATTACTCAGAATCCAACGAATGCCGCAAAATACTTTCGGCCATATCCACCCCCTTTTGCCACGATTTCGCCCATGATAATCAAATTTGCGCCAATTTTCACTATTATTTTCGTAATCAGCGCGCCAAAATACGTTAGTATACTTACAACTACCAAATTTCTTTCTAGTTACTATTTTTCTATCATTTTGTTGCGTTTTTGATCGTTTTTTGGAGTTTTCTCGAAAAATAATGACTTTTGGTAAAAAATGCCTTTTTTTAAGATGTTTTTTATAACTTGCTTCTAAGTTATCAAAAACAACTTAAAATGCATTAGTTTCTTAAGATATAAGATGGATAGGAAGATACTTTTGGTAACTTGCTTCCAATGTATCT